TGAATGCTCCGTACTTGTATTCCTACTGGAGCCCTTGGAAGGGCTGTAGCGGAACATGGGGGACGTGATTACATATAGATGCAGAAAGGATGTGATTATAAGGGGCATCCTTCATGCCAGGTGTCAATCAGAAGAATAATTACAACTGTATTTTGTTACAGGGATTAAATCAGAATTGGATATGTTCAGAGTTGAAGTTTAGAGTGTGTAACACAACCTGAAGTGTTATATCAAATTTAATGTGTTTACTATGCATTCTAGGAGAACAAAAGAGAATTTTGACTATCAACTGAAGATTGCAGTCGTGTTTTCTTTTAAAGGAGAGAATAACTTGCCAGTATTTTTCCTGGTAGGAGGAAAATGCTCCCCTTCCCCCTCTCCCAGCTTCTCTGAAAACAAATAGTTATTCTAGTTCTTCAAGGGGAAAAAATGTACATGATAAGCTTCATGGGTGTTATGTTTTAAGCCTGCCGGGTAGATTTGATCTCATGTTGAAATATTTTTTTTTCCAATATATAATTATTTTTGCTTCTTATTTTTTGAAGGTACGTGTTGACAGTGGCATACAACAAGGAAGTGATATTAGCATTTATTATGATCCTATGATCTCAAAAGTGAGTTGATGATTATTTTTCAATATTCTAAAGGTATGAAACACCAGTTTTATACACAGATCTTTTAGAAGAGAGAGAGTATATTCAAGGATGGGTAAATAAGTATTTTAAAGGTGCTAGGCATAACATGCCTCAAGGGAATATGAAAGAAGGGAAGGAAGATGTGGAGTAGAGGAAATTTAGTGTCACTTCTAAACAAAAATTTTTTTCATCTTTTGACACCGTAATTATTTGTTTTGTGGTTTCTGACTATTAAAAGGGTTCTGATTTAAACAGAAGCCATTACTTTCAGACTTAGATGCTGCCAATCTATCTTTTTTTAATGTAACCTAGCCAGAACTAAAATTTCAATAATTCTGGCTTCCAAAAAGAAGCAGTGAAAGAAATGGTTGATAGTATCTCTTAGTATTAGTTCTTATTTATCAGTAACATATTGGTAAAATGAAAATACGACATTATAGTCAGAGTTCAGTTGTCAAAAAAATTCACACTTAAATCTTAGAAGTTGGTTGGGCATTAGAATTCAGGAGAGTCAACTAGATATTGAACCTCTGCTCTAATTTTTTGTGTGCCTAAAGAAGAGAGAGCTTGTTTAGATGCTTTAAGTTTTATGAAGCAAAAGTGATTGGCCTTCTTTCATTGAATGGGTTAAGAGATCTTAGTTTTCTCTTGATGTTTGAGAGAGCCTCTGAAGCGCAGATAGAGCAATGTGCGAGAAATGTTTTTGTGACTGCAGAAGTTCTACAAACCGTTTTCATTTTAAATGCTATTCACAATCTAGACACAAACATTATCTCATTTCTAGGTAACTTAAATACCTTTTTTTTTTTTAGCTGATTACCTATGGCTCTAATAGAGCTGAAGCACTGAAAAGAATGGAAGAGGCTTTGGACAATTACGTAATTCGAGGTAACTACAGAAATTTGGGTTCCTAGTGTGATAGGCTGCCATCTATTTCAAGAAAACAGCTTGAAAATGTAGTAATTAGCAAATTAGCTTCTTAAGTGCAAATTAAAACAGGAAAAGCTTGTGTTAATTAAGCTGAGAAGATACATCAAATCTAAAGAGACTTCATATTTTTTCTCCATTGTTTTTCCTTGAAAATTATGAGATAAATATTTAAATAATTTCCTTAAACTCGTAAGAGTTTAAGAGTTTTCACAAAATGGTAGCACATAATTAATTTATTATATTGTGGAGGAAAAAAAGGCCACTACACTGTAAGAAATTTAAAGTAGTCTCTATTTTAGAGCAGTTTAATACATCGATTATGGTCAAATAATATCACAGTGCAGTATTTGATTGCGTGTGTGTGTATATATATTTTTTTCTTATTTTCAGGGTAATTGTTTAAGTTTGAGCAAATACAATTGTAGGCTGGTGATCAGAATGCATTTCAGCTCTTGCTGACTGACTGCCTAGGAGAAGTAGCTGTTGTTCTAGCCTTTCCAAGCAGCAGGGGTGAATCAACCATGACCACTTCAACTCCTTTTAAGTTTTAGAGAGGGAAGTCATGGTTTGTGTAGGAGAAATCTTTAGATCTTCCTTTATGTCTTATGGAAAATAGGAAGGAAAACTCATAGGAGAGGGAAAAAATTTGATTTTTTTTATCCTTTCTTTTCCTGGGGATGATTAGAGAAGGGAACTGTAATGTGGCAAAAATCTTCAGTTTACCCCTTATTTGTGTGTGTGTTTGGGGGAGTTATTTTCTTCATTACTAGTCAGTATACTTGAAGAACCAGGATAGGCGGGAAGGAGACTGTTGGAGGATTTGCTGCCTTTGTTCCCTGTTTTGGTTGCTGGACAGGTTGTTCCATGGTTTGAGATGGGAGAAAGACTTGGAATACTTAATTCCTCCTCTGAATGGAGCAGGGGGGACCTCGTACAGCAGGCAATCATATGAGTGTTTCTGTAAAACTTGGCTGGGCTTTAATGCTGTCTGCTGAATACTACAGATGCCATGTCAGACTAGAAAAATGTATCCATCTAGGGGAAAATGAGCATCCCTCTACCGCAGTGGACCTAGATAGGTGGTAGGATTAGGCATTGTAAATGAACTGCGTAACTCTAAAGTGGATTTATACTGGTGCAACTTGAGCCATTAGACTATTGCAGTACAATGTGCTGATGTAAACCCCTGCTGTATATCAGCTGAGTAAATTTATATGAGGGAGAAATTTTATCACTACAGCTAGACTTATGTGAGGTGTGCTTTGTTTTTTGGTTTTTTTTTTTTTGAATGGAGAAGGATTATAGTTAATGAGAATACTGGAATTGTGTGTGGAGCATGTTTTTTATTGTGTGCTATAATATGGGATGGAACCTAATTGTTTGTTCTTAGGTGTTTTACACAGATGTGTATGTACCTAATAACAGTTCCACAGATATATAAATACCTACAAAGGATATATCTTACATATGAAAATTACTAATTTGCATTCTTGATTTTTTTTTTTTACACGGTCTTTATTAGTATGCATGTATGCATTTAAGTGTTCATACCTGACATCTCTGTAGTACTTCTACCTGTGAAAAAGCTCTTCATCTATTAAAAACATTGAAAGAGGTAATAAATGAACTATGGGGGAGAATGCATTTTTTAAAGTATTACAAAGGACAAATTTTAATTTACCACAGGTTTCAAAAGTAGATGAATTTCCCGAATGCTTTTTTAGTTGTGGTGAGCAGTGGTTTCCATTTGAAAACCAACAGGATTTTTGTGTAGTTTTACACAGTTGGTAGTTTCTTCTCAGGGTTTATTTAAAATGTAACATTCATGGATATTAAAGTATTTCTTCTCTTGCCTAGTGTGAATGATGCTTGATAGGGCAGCTTGTAGAAACTGTCCTATCTGTAATGTTCTGAACTGCATTGACATGTGCAGAACTCCTCCTTGTTCAGAGGAGTTGTCTCTAAGTTTAAGTAAGCCTAACAGGTGATGCAGAAGTAGTAATATATTGGTATATAAATGGACAAAATAATTAAATATCAGTAAAGTAAAAGCAATTGAATACATTTTTTTTCTGATATGATTGTGTATATTTTTGCTTTAAAATGTTGGTGCTATGTAAAATGATATTAAACCACCTTGATCTTATGTGAAAGTGCCTCACATGAAGTCTTGTCCGTAATTGAGTCATTACTAGTAGTAAAAGGTACAGAATAGTTTTTTACCTAACTTGAAGTTACTTGGGTTTATATTTGAATAGCGAACCTATACATAACTAGAGATCACCACAGTCTTCCTGAATAGTGTGCTCCATATTCCTATTTCTGAACCACCACCACCCCTCCCCCCCGCCCCAATTTCCTTGGAAGCAGCTTTTATGTTTGCTTTGTGTTTTAGAGACAGCGTATTTTTCCCTGTAGCAAGTCTCTTCTGAGTTACAAAGCATTTTAGCTAAGCTTTACCAGCTGAAGTCGGTGTGACTTGTACAGATAATATACACTGTGAGAATTTAGATTTAAATGCCCAAGAATCGCAACATTTCTGTAAGCAAAAATGCTCATTCACTCACATTGGGTGGGAATGGGATGGGGTGACTGGGTAACAGGTCAAGGACAATCTAATGGGTAGCTTAGGGACTGCTAATGGAAGATGGAGTCTTTCCTATCACTTCTGTGTCACCAGTTCAAAGCAGGCAAAAGTTGGTAAGGACTTTTAGTCACTAGTATTTTGATGGTTGCTTGCTGACCTGCGTGAAATCGGTGGTCTTTATCCAGTTCCTAGAAGACAAATGTCCTCTTGGAACAAATGCCACCATATAATGTCATTCATGGCAGTCCCAGCAGAGAATCCAGAGACTGACGCGGCACAGAGACCCTCCAGGAGGTGACTCGCCCAGGCTGGGTTGAGGCATGCTGACAGTGGGAAGTGCAAGGACTTACTCTGCTGTTCCTTGTCTACTGGCTGTATGAGCAGACACTCACTTTCTACTGCTGTGGCTTTAGGGTATCCAAGAGTTACCCATTCCCTTTTAGCTCCATTCCACTGACAGGGAACAAGTCCTCAGACTACAATCTTTATTGACTCGTTTTCTAGGAACAGATAGCACCTGACGTTGAATCCGTGGTTCAGCTGTCCCTCCCAGTTAAATCTGCCTGACAACATCGCAAAGGAAATTAAATTAATTAAATGTTCGAAAAATGTAAAGTTGCAAAGAAAGCGGACTTACGCAAAATTTGAGTAAATAATATTTTAAGCAACCAAGACTGCATCATATAGTGCCTGTCATAGCAGTATCTTGCTTATAAATGCTGAATAAATAAAATTGTGGTATTTGCAACAATGCTATGCTCTGAAAATGCCTGTTGCCTTAGCATTTTATTACAGTTGGGGATGGTAACAACTTGCACACACTGAAATAAGAAATTCTACAGTCTGTTTGTTGGTAGATGCTAACAATGTGACTAACTCAAGATACATTCAGTGTGGTCATGGGAATGTAATCTGCATCTTATTTCCTGTGTAATATGTACAGTGTTATTAATGGGAGCAGGTGAAAGTCTAGGATAGCACTTCTTTGAGTGGTGGATTAGATTAAATGATCTCCTAAGGTCCTTTGCAGTCTAAATTATCCTGATACGAACTGATCCTCCATGGAGAACTGATCTGAATTCAAAATCTCAGTTGAGACTTCTGAATGAGGAAGGGTCTAATTAGGTAACATTTTTATCCATGGGTCTTCCAGTATAGTTCAGGGATGATTAATGTTCAAGGTCTAACCCAGATTTGTCTCAAGCAGATACACTTTTTGTTTTATCCAGCGGTTACTGGAGAATTTGTGAATACTGAAAAGTTAAGATGTCGGTCAAGCATAGATGCACTGGTTGCTCATCGGGATGAGACATGAGTTGTTTCCTGTGAGCTTGCACTGTTGTCAGTAGTTCATCTTTCTCTTGTTTTATGCCACTTTTCTTTAGAAACTTAAGGTCTTGTTTCTTCTTTTTAATTTGATCAAGAGAAATAAGGTATTGGACAAATGCCTTTCAGTGTGTCTACTGTATGTGTAAACATGATATGTGATTTCCCTCTTCTCAGTTTCTCTTAAGATTTTAGCATGTGTTTGTCATGTAATTTATGATGCTGAATAATCTGTTCATTTACAGGTGTATGCAAAACCCAGTATGAAGTTCTGGAAAGTTTATGTATGAAAATTGTTGTATCTATTTAAATAAAAGAAATGGACATATTTATGCAGCAAGTAGAACTGATGATCAATTCACCAGAGGTCTGATTGGGCAGATACGTGATATCCCTGAGTGCAGAGATTCCTGTAATCTTTTCTTTGACCTGTCTTTGCTTTGTATCTTCCCTGCTGATTCAAATAAAAAGCAGTAACATGAAATTAACAGTCTTTGTGTAAAATCAGCCGTTATCTGTTGAGATCCTGCTTGCTGTGGGGAAGGAGGAATGTAGTAGAACGTTTGGGAGAAAGAAGAGTGGAAGAAGGAGTGTCTGAGGAAAGACTAAGCAGCAGATAGAGCAAGGAGTAGAAGAAATGAGGGGGAAATAAGGGAGCCACTAACCAGGGGGGGATCTTCCAGCATGGGATAAAAGAGCAGTTGTAGAAAAGAAAATGGAAAAGTGGTAAATAGTTGTGCTGAATGTTTGAGGGGAAGGGGAATATAGAAATTAACTCTCTAATATGAATGGAGACCTGCCAGAACAGTGGCAGCAGAAACTGTTGTCTTGAGTTTTTGCTGTAAACACAGTAATTGGGAGGAAAGAGAGTACTGTGCTTAGTATTGTGGAGAAGGCCTTGGCTCTCCAAGAAAAAGCACCCAACAAATAAAAAACGCACTTTAATTTTAGTATTTTATCATATATTTAAAAGAAATTTATTTTCAGGTACAAAGGTTTTCACAATAATCTGTAATTAAATCCAAACATCATCAATTACTGAATG